GCCGTGGTCAGACCAGTCCTGCTTTGCTCCTGCAGGAACCCCCCCCCAGCAGAGCAGCCCCTCCAGCCATGTGGGGACACGGAGAGGGACATGAGGGACCTCAGGGCACTGCAGCAGCTCCTGCCTGGGAACAGTGGAGTGCATCCCTTCTCTCACCTGGATATCAGGGATCACGGGGGTCTGTGAGCAGCAGCCCAACCTTCCAATGGTCTGAGGGGCTCTAAATCACTTTGGTTTGTTCCTGGACAGTTATACTGGCTGCTGGGCAGACCCCAGAGGGGTTTCTGTGGTGGCTTACACTGATGCAGCAGCAGATTGCACAAAGGACAAATAGGGAGATTTCCCCCCTCCTCCCCCACTCTTTAGCAGCTATCCCGAAAGTACAGGCCTGTGAAGGCCAAACCATGAATGGGGGAAGGCCACTTCTCTATTTTTAGTGGTGCTTCCTCTTTCCCTCATTGTCTGCCCAGCATCAGACAAGAGGAAAGCCTCAGACACCCCCAGGAATCCCAGCCTTGCTGCCCTCTTAATGCTGTTGGCCAGAGCACAGAACCATGGAATCATGGAATCTCCTGAGTTGGAAGGACCATCGAGTCCAGCTCCTGGCCCTGCTTAGGATACCCCAACAATCCCATGATATGAGAACTCCTGGAGCAGGTCCAGTGGAGGCTGCGGAGACACTGAAAGGATGGAGCATCTCTGGGAACAGGAAAGGCTGAGGGAGCTGGGGCTGTTCAGCCTCAGGAAGAGAAGACTGAGAGGGAATCTCATCCATGCCTGTCCAGTGTGTGCAGGGAGGGGGCAGAGATGGATGAGGCTCTGCTCGGGGGGCCCAGCAATGGGACAAGAGGCAACAACACAAACTGATTCCCAGAAAGCTCCACCTGAACGTGAGGAAGAACTTCTTTGCTGTGCAGTGATCCAGCACTGAACAGAGACCAGAGGGAGTGTGGAGTCTCCTCACTGAGGTTATTCCAGAACCCTCTGGACACAATCCTGTGCCATGGGATGCTCATCCCATCTAACTCTGGGACGGCCCTGCTGGAGCAGGGAGGGGCCACCTGATGACCCACTGTGGTCCCTTCAACATGACCCAGGCTGTGATTCTGTGTTTCTGTGCGCCTGAGAGCGCTGTCCGAACGCTCCCTGAGCCCTGCCCGCCCTGCCCGGCGGTGCCCGGGGCGCGGTGGCCCCGGTCGGAGCCCGCGGGGGTCGCGGGGAGGCCCCGCGGGAGGGGCGGCGGAACCTTCGCGCGGCGGAACCTTCGCGCTGCGGCGCGGGGCCCACGGGCGGCGGGGAGGGGGGGCGGGCGGGGGACGGACCGCGAGGAACTGAGGCGGCAGCGGGGCCGGGAGTTGGGACCGGGATCGGAATTGGGATCGGGATTGGGATCGGGATCGGAATTAGGAGCGGGAGCGGCCCCGCGGGCCCGGCCAGGCCGAGATGTACGCGGGGCTGCAGGAGCTGGGGGTGGCCAACGGCGAGGACCTCAAGGAGACCCTCACGAACTGCACGGAGCCGCTCAAGGCCATCGAGCAGTTCCAGGTGCCGTGAGGGGCCGGGCTGTGTGTGGGTGGAGGGGGGAGCCCTCAGTGCCGTCCGGGCTTTTCGCTCTTTTGCTTTGTTGTCCCGCGTGCCGTTCTCAGCCCCGCTCGGTTGCTCTCTCAGACAGAGAACGGGGTGCTGCTGCCCTCGCTGCAGTACGCGCTGCCCTTCCTGGACCTGCACGGCACCCCCCGCCTCGAGTTCCACCAGTCGGTGTTCGATGAGCTGCGGGAGAAGCTGCTGGAGAGGGTCTCTGCCATCGCCTTGGAGGGGAAGGTCGAGGAGAGGTTGGTCGGCAGTCTTGGTTACTTGGAGCGACCTGGGAATTCTGTGAGAAAATACTGTGGTGACTTTTGCAGGGGAGAGTTTGATACCTTGGAAATCAAGTTCCAGTGGCTCTGAGATGAGCCAGTCTGTCCCTTTACTGCTCCATGGTGCCTAGTCTCGCGCTCTCTCGTGTTTTCAGATACAAGAAGCTGGAAGATCTCCTGGAGAAGAGCTTTTCCCTGGTCAAGATGCCCTCCATCCAGCCCGTGGTCATGTGTGTCATGAAGCACTTGCCCAAGGTAGGACCTGCACTGTGCTGTGACGTCTCTGGTGTGGCTCCTCCAGCTGTGCTCCCTCTGCACACCTTTGCAGGTGTGTTGTTCAGTGGTAGGCACTGACTGAAGATTTAATTCATTCTTGTATCTGCTGCCAACTTAGTGGGCTAATTCAAAAGGCATTTTATGTTTTTATAATCAGATGAGACTATTTCCCTGTTTTCCTCAATCCATGCAGCTTCCTAACAATAGTCAGGTTCACTGATAAGTGAATTTTCCCACAGCTGATTTAAAAATCTTTGACAAGTGGAAGATAAGTCTTGAAGAATGAAGCTAGAAGTAGACAGGAGTGAGATTCAGATCTGTGAGACAAAAGTCTCTAGGAGTGTCCTTATTAAAAGCATCATATTGCACTTAAGGTAATGGATTCAAAACTGCTACTGGAATTTTAGTGTCACTGAGTTTGGAAACACCATTCCCAATTCTCAGCACTGCGGATTTAAAGGAAATCTTTTTTCTTCTTTGAAATAAATAAGGAAAAGCTTGGTGTGTGATTTGGCTGTTGAAGAAGTGTCTTCAGGAGGAGGCAAGAGCTGAGCCTGTGGTACTGCTGGGTGTGAATGCCCAAACTGCCTGAGGGGGTGATCAGTCGAGGGAGAGGATTGTCCTGCTCTGCTCTGCTCTGGGGCAGCCTCACCTTGAGTCCTGGGGGCAGTTTGGGCACCACAATACAGGAAAGATTTAAAGCTGTTGGAGAGTGTCCAAAGGAGGGACATGGAGATGGGGAAGGGCCTAGAGGAGAAGAGTCTGAGGAGAAGCTGAGGGCACTTGGCTTGTTCAGCTGGGGAAGAGGAGACAGAGGTCAGAGCTCATCAGGGTCTGCAGCTCCTCCTGAGGGGCAGCTCTGATCTCTGCACCCTGTGAGCAGGGACAGCACCCAGGGAACAGCTGGAGCTGTGTCAGGGCAGGGTCAGGTTGGATCTCAGGAAAGGTTCTTCCCCCAGAGGCTGGTTGGGCACTGACCAGGCTCCCCAGGGCAGTGGGCACAGCCCCAAGGCTGCCAGAGCTCCAGGAGAGTTTGGACAATGCTCTGAGGGCCAGGGTGGGATTGTTGGGGTGTCTGTGCAGGGCCAGGAGCTGGACTGGATGGTCCTGGTGATCCTTCCAGCTCAGGATGTTCTGTGATTCCGTGATTTAGGTGTCTCCTGTGGTCAGCTGGGCAGGTGAGGGGCTGCCCTGTGTAACTGCTGTGTCCACTGCAGGTCCCTGAGAAGAAGCTGAAGCTGGTGATGGCTGACAAGGACCTGTACAAGGCCTGTGCCGTGGAGGTGAAGCGGCAGATCTGGCAGGACAACCAGGCCCTGTTTGGGGACGAGGTGTCCCCCCTGCTCAAGCAATACATCCTGGAGAAGGAGAACATCCTCTTCAGCAACGACATCTCCTTCCTGCAGAACTTCTTCAGTCCTTCTCCCAAAACAAGGCGTCAAGGAGAGGTGAGGACAAAGGCACCCTCACAAGATGCTTGAGTGGAATCCATCAGTGTTCAGTCACCCTCAGCACAGAACAGGGTCTGTTCCCCCACCCAGCTTTGCTCCTCAAGTCTTGTAGCTTGACAAAGTCTTTGCTAGAAATACCAGGCCATTGTCTCCTATATATCTTGGTGAAAGCAGCAGGAATTATTTTAATAGTCAGTCAGTGCTGTGTAATGATTGATGAATGTTCTAAGCTGTTTATGCACTTTTAAAAAAACATAGGAAGGCTGATGTTTTTTTCTGTAGTGTCCAGTCTGGCTTTAATATACCCCAGGTGTTTGGAAGACTGAGCATCTCTATCCCCAGTTTGAATATGTTAATATGTTAAATTTCTTTTCTTGAGACCTCTTTTATAGCCCAATAAAATTTGGTTTAGTTTTTTTTTTTTTTTTAATAGAAAGCTGTAGTTAATCTGGCATCCAGAAAAGTTGCTCTTTGAATGGAATTAATTATAGGGCAGTGTAAAGCTATAATTTCAGAGAGGGCAGTATGTTTGTTACATGGGAGTTGTTTTGGGCCTGTTTTGCTTTCAAAACCATGTAGTGTAAGTGCTCTGGTACAATTTACTCCAGGTTTACACTGCAGAGTTGTGGCGTAACTCAGCACCACACATCCACTTGTACACTCCCCCTGCAGGGAGAATCAGGAGGATAAAAGAAAGAAGCTTGTGGATTTAGGTAAAAGCACATTATGGCTGTGAAAGACTTGGTGAATGTACCTTGAACAAATG